CGTCACAGATGTTATTGTCATACATAGACAGGTAAAATAAGTTTCTACAAACCCCAATAAACTACACATCACCATTTCGCCCATCCAGATGTTCCAAAAAAAAAAAAAAAAACACACATTTACTGATATGTAGATCCACTTAGAAAAAGGGTTTGAACTAATTTCAAATGTTCTATGCAATAATCCATGTAAAACCTTTTCCCACTGCGACATCCCTCACCGATACTGCATTACGATATGTTCTAATATGACTAGGGACATGTTTGTATTTACCTTGTATGTATGAAAATATCGAAACTACTAGATTTCTTTCTTATTATTTTAGTGGCATGTTTATGAAAGCCCTCGTCTTCCCTAGTTTTCAGGGAATCTGTTGCCAAAGGGTTAACTGTGTGGACTGTTGGTCTTGGACATCCACCATCTCTGTTGCTTGCAGCATGATTCTGCTCAGCTCTCTTTGGCTCTTTGTAATGCTGTCATTCGCTCTTCGTGTCCGCAGTTTGATCAGGCGACAAGTCGGGCACACAGCTTATGCACTCGTTATTTCATCTCCTCCAACAGGGAAACGTCGTGTTTGGGTTGCGAATGTTGCCGTGTCCACACAGGACGCGCGCAGGTCTCCGTGCGATACCACCGAGAGATGGAAAATAAAGACCATTATTATTACGTGATCTTAAAGGCACGTGGATATGTAAATTGAGAATGTCATCACAGTCGAAACTATGCTTTGGAGAAGATTCAAAGGTGTAAACGTGATCACTGTAGCATGAATTCACCTCCATGCCATTCATATGAAAATCAGGGCATGCACATTGAAAGCACAAGCATCACCATTTGAGTTTGCGAGGTGCGTTGACTAGAGGTGAATCTTTTCCTTTTTGATACTGGAATGTTGTTTAGGCAATCAAGACTCTATGATGAAGAATGATAACTCTTCTACATCACTGTTACCATGGAGATATTCAATAACAAGTGCATGAGCCAAAGTTGCCACCACAAAAGCCGGCCACAGTGATAGATAGAAATACGCAAACACGGACATATCTACACAAACAGGCATGTGAACACACATACACACACATATATAGACTAACTGTCGCTGTAAATACTGACTTTGGTTATTTTGTACAGTGTTTAAATATCATGAGTAAAATGATGGCCGTCTTGTGCAACTTCACGCCGGCCTTGCTGCCAACCTTTTGTGCTTTTGTGTATAAAAGAATAATGATGATTATTGTTATTATTATGAGAAAAAAAAATATCATAGTATATATGTTGCTGGCTCTCAATGACTGTTGACTACAGTGGGAAAAAAAACATTTGGTCTGTGTAGGGTTTCTATAGGCTACTATTGTGTTTGTAAAATCTAAATACAATGGAAAAATATGTAAGTGGCTTCCATCATGACCGTGCCAGAAAAGAGGGTTCAGAGTGAATAAAGCAGATTTGTTATAAATTCAAAAGGGAATTGGGGGGAAAAAAGTGAAAAATTCTCTCACGAATCACTGTTGTAAGTGCAATGGGCTAAATGTGAGTCCAGTATTCATTGTGAAATATTGTGTTCTTTTCAATGTATTCCTGTTAAAAGATAAATTTCTGGTGCATCATGTCATGTAATGTGATTATGAAAATAATGAACCTGCAATTTGTTTCCAGACTGGAGAAGAATAAAGACAAAAAACTAAAATTGACATGCAGTCTCTTGTATTGGTGTCAGTCATTCATTGCAGGAAAATGTACGTCGTCAACCTCTCTTTCTTTTCCTAAGATCTTATCCCATTCTGTAATTTGAAATGGCTAAATTCAAGTCACATGTTTGGTTGTGTAATTCATCTTGCACCATTTGTGCTACATAGACACACATGAATAGGCCTACATCAATCATACGGCATGTTGAGGAGTTTTTGTTACGTTTCTTAATTGATTCAACATACGACGTCACTCTGTAGGCCAAAACGCGGAAGTGAGTTAGCATTTTACCACTTCCGGTCCCCTCGCTCGAATGCGTCATCAATCCGGAAGTTGGCCATTTTGGAGGCACAGAACATAAACAATGCCATTGAACTGAACGGACTCGCAAATTTGGCTGATTGTTTCCGCTGAAAAATGGTCGAGTTTTGGTCTGTACTAATCGGTCACATCGGGAAAATGCCTTTTGAGTTCTATAGACTGCCAAAAGTTAAAGACAAGAGTGCAAAAAAATGATGAAAGAAGGCGTTTGTGGTTGAGAGAGGCACAGCATCAGCCACATGTGTAAATGAAGCTTTGACTATGGCTAAAATGTTAACGTATTAACTATGGCTACATTCACCTCTCCAAATCCGATTGGAATTTGATCTAAAATGATGTCCACAGTCAAGAAAGAATTGCAGTATATGGGCTAGAGAAGCTAGCTCGTTCGGATCTTTACCACTAATTAACTTTAGTTTGTCAAAATATTGCGCTCTCTCCTGCTTGGTAAGTCTTTCTCTTTATGATTTCGCACCTACCACGTTTTTTTCTGTGTTTTTTTTTTAGTCTAACAATGTATTCAGTAGTACATAAACAGTGTAGTCCATGCTGTTGTTTTACATCCGAGTGCCTCCATAATGGCCGCTCATCCGGGTTACCGCCCAGAATGTGACGTCGGTGAAAACCAAACCCTCGATGGGATTTTTGAATGGGTTTTTGCTAAATCGCCTGAAATAAGGTCTGTGGTGAACAAAGCCACTAAATATTTTCACGTTTTGATCTATGACAGAACACACAGTTATAATCTGCTTGTGTTTTTTTTTTAATTTTATTGTGTCTGATTGTGTTTTAAAAACGTTATATAGGCTTCACAATGTATACATGTTTGATTAACTTGCAAAGATTATCTTGATAGATTAAACATGTAGGGGTCACAACTCTTTATTAAACACAGATCTTATTTTTGGCGATTTTCCAAAAGTCTATGGGGAAAATGCTTTCCGATCGAGGAAACCCATGCGCCGCTAGCTTCCGAGTTGTCCTACAAAGTGACGTCATCACTTCGGCACTCTATAATTTAGGAACTCCATATGCATTGATAAAATCCACACAAACTCACTGTTTGAAGATGCAGATCTGCAATTTTCGACATGACCTCTAGGTGTCATCAGAGGACCATTCGTCTCAATGTGAGCTATGCAATTTAACATGAAATGTGGAATAATTTTGCATTTTGTAACTTTGCGGCTCAGCAATTTGACTGGAATTAAAACTAGTAAATGCTCACTCACTAAATAATCAATATTTTGTGCTCTGGTAATTAAATTCTTTCCCCAAAGGCCACAAACAAGGACTATGATCGATTTTGTTTGGCAATCAGTGTCCCCAGTGAAAGAAAGGATGAGAACAATAATGAAGTTGTGGGAAGCCAACATGCCTGCTATGCAGAGATTTTGAGTTTTTCTGTGCAATTAAATACTGTACTTTATCACAGTTGTGTCTTTATGTAAAGATCAATGGAACATTTGTTCAACTTTGAGAAAGTGATAAACTAAAACAGGTCTTGGCCTTCTGTTAATGGAACTTGACGCAGATGATGTGTTTTTGTGTAACCGTGTTGTCTTTTCCACCCACTGTCACACACGCTCAACGTCAACATTTGCTTAAATCCCTCGGCTCCAGGATGGTTTGTAGCGTGTAAAAGCGCTGTGATCAGACATTATTCACACCACCTAGGGACTGGGTGGGAAAGTTGAGTCATGCACAGGCTAATTAAGTCTTTTGCTGTAAACTTACATATCAATTTGAAATCAACATTTAATTTTAAGCAGAAGCCAAGTTAAGGCTGCTAAAAAAAAGACAACCGGTCCTAAAGAGATTTATTCATACCTTACAATTTATTCATTACGAACATTAAATGGATTTAATGTCTTATAATTATAATATTTCCCGCAGGCTAAATTTAACAGCCCAAAATTATCTTGTACTCCTTAAACAACAGGATTACATCTCTGTCACATTGTTCTTATAATGTATATGTTCTCTTCTACTTTAATAGTCAAAGTCCAGGGCATTTTAAAGACAGACCTCTGACAGTCTCCAAGCTGAAGCATCACGTCTGGAGTCTGAGCTGGAGGGGAAGTGTGTGACAGGCAGCCAATCACAGAGCACCAGAGGCATCAAAGCCAATTACAGCAGTGGTCACATGACCACACTTGGCTGCATATGATTGGCATGGCCGCAGACAGTGGGTAGCTCACCCATCAACTTCATGCAAACTTCTTCTGTGTGACCTTCACAGAATTCATAATGAGAAAAGCAGAAAATTCTGATTTTTTTTTAATATATACCGTGTGTGTGTGTGTGTATATATATATATATATATATATACTGTATATATATATACATATACAAATAAATGTACTGTATATACAAATAAATATAGCCTACTGTACGGATATGATATATAATTGTGTATATATATATAAAGTGAATTTATATATATATATATATGTATGTGTATATATATATATATATATATATATATGCATGTATGTGTGTATTTTAATTCACTATATACAGTATATACAATTATATATCATAATCTGTACAGGTTTCATAACCTGGACAATTTTCATAATCTACATATTTATTTGTGTATACAGTACATATGTATATATATATATATATATATATATATATATATATATATATATAATGTATGTATATGTATATATGTATATTCTACATTCTATATATATATATATATATATATATATATACTCATTTTTAAGTTAATTTGAAAATTTTGCTATTGCCTTATGTGCTTTTGGTCATCATAGCTTAACCTCATTTTAACCTTTGTGTTAACTGTATAGACGACACAAATTGAGCTTATCAATTGATAATACAGTGCCATTCGCGAATGACAACGCCTCGTGGTCGACGCTTCTCCTCTCATTTTTATGCGCTGGCCCTTTAAATCTAAAGCTCATTTATGCGTGGGCCGAGCTTGTGTGCGTGTGTCCAATCAGAGCGCGGGATGTTGATGCTGGAGTGGATGCAGGACACGGGACGCTGATGCTGATGCTGGGGGACCCGCACAGTGATGGAGCGGCGACGACGCTGAAAAGGTAACGAAACGGGATCTAACGACACACTGGCTTTCATTCACTCCGGTTAGGGAGAGTTTATATTAATGATTCGAAATTCCAATTGATTTATCGATGTGAGCTAATTATATTCATTTTGAATGATGGAAAATGAGCTGAAATCCGCTGTATTATGAACGAGATGAAGCGTCGATCGATGCTGTTTGAAATGCATTTGCTTTACGATTCATACTCGAAATTAAAATGTTGGCTATATTTAGTGCTTGTCTATCTTCATAATAAACGGTGGATATTTCTATATGGATGTTTCTAAGTGAGGTCTAAATGAGACTTATTCGATGTTAGAGATGACATTTTAGTAAGCTTAATAATGTTAATTACACCTATCATTTTTAAGTGTCAATGTAGGTGTATTAGGCTACATATTCTTGCACTCGATGGTTTTCTCAAAGATATCTTCTCATTTAGGAAAAAAAACATGGGCTTGTATGACTTGTCAGCCTCTAGGAGTGATTTTTGGGAGATGATTGACATTGCTGAAAGCCAATCAGAAAGCAGATGTTATCCGCTCAGCCAGTGGCTGAAGGATGAGGGAGGGCTTTCACATGCGGCTTCTGTCTGATCTTCAAAAGATACTATAATTTATTGTTTTTTGAATAGTGTCTCTGGCGACCCTTGATTACAAGCGACTTTATGAGATATTTTTTTTTCCACAATGTGACCTACAGCCATCTTTAAACGACGGTTTTATGTAGTGTTTGAACAGTCAGAATTGCTTCAAAATTATTTTATTAAGATTTAATTGAGAAGAGAAACATATCACCATGTTTCATACCTGGAAATCTCTGGAAATGTAATGGGAATTTCGATAGTGAATACATCTTTAGATATGCATGGCTTTAAAAATATGCATGTGTGCAATGTTTAATCTTTTTTTTATTCAGTAAATATAAGATAAAGATTGATATTCACTAGTAAAAGATGGTAAAATTAATTAACTTTGGAGGAATGCATTTGCTTTTCTGTTATATATGCCAACAAGTGATCTGCTCCAATTTGTGATGATACTTTTAGTGAATAAGATCCTATTTTAAATTGTGGGTTTGAGCCATACACTGAACATTAATGTCTTGGTTAAACCATATTCCAGTTGGCCAGTTCGTCTTTTAACATGTTGTGTTATTGAAGTCTGGGTAATTTGCCCTTTGTGCCTCTAACACACTGTTTCAAGTGTCAGTGAGTGTCAGAGAGAGAGTGGCTCATAATATGTATCCTACCACCTTGATTAAGCCATTTATGCTAGAGATCAGCTGGCTTCTCTAAATTACTGACCAAAAAAAAGCTCTTTCTGTCATTCAGTTCTCAGGAGAGTTTAAGGTTTTCTGTGTTATTAACCAGCTCAGTCTCTGTTACCTATGTCCGTTGAGACCAAAACGTGACGTTTGCTTGTTGCTGTTGGCATATACTTTTATCTAAAAGGACTTTGGGTGTTTTCACATTTGGCATGTTTGTTTTTTGTTGTTTTTTTTAAATTAAAATTAACCCTTGTGCGATTGCTCAGTTTGTGCGGTCTGAACTCTGACATCTGAACCTTGGGGTCACCAAACATGTAGAAAAGATGGGTCTCTGCCCGCTTCCAAACCAACTCTGGTGCGGTTCTAATAAAATATGAACACAGCACGGAACAATGACGTCGAACAAACAAAAAACGGGACCTGAGGTCACAAGATATCCCTAAAAACGACAGAAGGCTCAAGCTTACCTGTTTTTTCTCGTCATAGGAGTTAAGTCGCCCATTACACTCCGGTACAGGCGTCGGAAAAGCCCTCTCTTTGCAGCAGATCTTTGATTGTGTGTAACATAAGAATTCCTGCTACCGTTTTGACTCTGTTACACATTTTATAAGCTCTTCACAAGTTCCTAAGCTGGTAAAAATACCATCATACGGAGTATAGACAGACCTACAATGAGCGCGTTTAGCCCAGAAAACAGCATTGTTTTGAATGTTGGGTAAGTTAAGTTGCAAAATATACATCATCATTTTAATTCTTTAAAGGGATAGTTCACTTTGAAATAAATTTTTGGTATGTTTTAGCTTACCTCAAGGGCATCCAAGACGTAGGTGTCTTTGTTTCCGCAGTATTTTCAATTTTGATATTTTTAGGTCAAACCGTCATATAATCTGTCTGTCAGTCATATAATGGAGGTCTATGGTCACCACCTCAAAGAGCATGCACAGAGAAGTCCAAATTAAACATAATTTAATGACTCGTAAATGTAAGTACACATTGATGGCCTAAGACACGAAACGAGCGGTTTGTGTGAGAAAACGAACAGTATTTATATCGTTTTTACCTCTTGTAACTACAGCCACAAAGCGTGGACGTGGCTGTGGTTACAAGAGGTAAAAACAATATAAATTCTGTTCGTAAATACTTATAATACTTTAGCAGTAATATAAATACTGCTAAAACATACCAAAAATTAATTTCATAGTGAATCTTTAGGTTTGGTGTTAAAAATGACAGTGTGTTTTCATTTTTGGTCTGGACCAAAAGAAAAAAGAGAACAGAACAAGTGTGAACACACAACTTAACGTCGCATTATCTGGCATTTTACATTAAAATACTGTCAAACTGATGCAAGTAAAGACAAAAACTATATTTTACCATAAAAAAACAACATTATTGTATTTGATGGAGTATAATAAGTTTTGTTTCCTCTCATATTTGTTTTCAGTAAATGAACATTGGGATCTTTTGTGTTTCGTTTTCTATTATTTGGTTAATGTTTATTGCATTATGTTGGTGTTGTTTTATGGAGGAGACTTACAATAGATCTGATTCCTCATGTGACTTTCTCTTTTACCACCTGTATTATGGTTCTCAGTACAGTTTAATGTAAAAAGCCAGTTATAAGTTGTAAAAAAATCCAGGCACCAATATATAATCCAATAATACTGGAAACATTGTTATTGTCAGTACTTTTACAGTGAATTTCTAGCAATCACAGTTGCCTTTTTACCAAAAATTGAACAGGATATTTTTGGAGTGACTTGTTGGAGGGTTCTTTTGACTTGTGGTAAGCAACCACCCAGAAAACAGGCAGGCAAGCCAAGTGTCAGATTATTTATTTTTTATTTTTTTTTTAAATCTTGGCATTTGGGTGCAGTCTTTTCCTTTTTTGTTCGTTTGTCCAGTATGGCATGCTATATATGGTGTCTGGCTAGAAGATGAGGGCCGGACATGTCCTTTCTCTGGCATGGAAGTGCACAGATGACCAGGCCATCTGCATTCCGGCTTCGATTGGTTTCAGCATAAATGTACATTTCTCACTCTCTCTCTCTCTTCCTCACACGCCCATGAATGCCCACACATCCTCACTTTTCATACGAGTGAAAACAGGTGCTCTCTTCTTCATCATCTCAGTCACTGTTGCCATAGCAACCCTCTCCACAGCATCAGCGTCATCCCAGCGAGCAGCAAGTGGTCCCCACCTCTGAGAAAAACTGCAGGGCACTTTTCATTTTGACTCATCTTTCTGGAGAATAGACACAGGCTTTATCCTGAAAGAAATTGAAGGAAGTTATGTTTGCTTCAAAATGAGAAGGAACAAAAGGAACTTACGTCTTTGCATTTTGCTTAACTCTAGGCTGATATGAGAGAGATATGCACACCCAGACTGATCTCATGAAGTAACGTGTGTATGACACGCCAATTCATATTTCCATTTTTGGCGTGCTATCAAGACGCATAATCGCCTTTCAGCGTGTTTATGAACGCCGTTGACTTAACGTTACATAAGTTCTGTGGGGGAAGACGTGTGTTCTGTCCATGTAGAAATGATTGACTTGTGTTGAACCCATTTCTGCACTGACCACAAATGTCTTGTTGGCGATTTTGAAGTCTTCGACTGCATTTTGAAGTGTGTTCTCTTTTCTAGGATGCACTAAACACCCTTGTCGATCTGCGAGGCGCTTTTCTCACGGACGCCTGGCTCTCCGTGTTACAGAAGCTTGAGAGATGTATGGCAGCGCGCGGGCCGTCGGCCACATGGAGGGCAGCCCCGCTCGCTCCCCGCGGCTGCCCCGCTCTCCTCGGTTGGGGCACCGTCGGGCTAACAGCGGCAGCTCGGGTGGCAAGACCTTATCCATGGAGAACATACAATCCCTCAATGCTGCCTACGCCACGTCTGGCCCGATGTACCTGAGCGACCACGAAGCCGTCGGGTCCACGGCTACCTACCCCAAAGGCACCATGACGCTGGGTCGGGCCACGAGTCGAGCGATGTACGGCGCTCGGGTCACGGCCATGGGCAGCACCCCTAACATCCACACGGCAGGAATCCCTCACGCCGACCTGCTGTCTTACGGCGACCTGGGCTCGCTGTCGATGCTCCACCACCAGGGGACGCCGTCTGCTCTGCTGCGGCAGGCGGTCAGGGGAGGTGGCGGGGAACTTTTGGAGCTCCAGGCACAGCTACGGGACATGCAGAGAGAAAACGATCTCCTTCGGAGGGAGCTGGACCTGAAGGACAGCAAGCTGGGCTCCTCCGCCAACAGCATCAAGAGCTTCTGGAGCCCCGAGTTGAAGAAAGAACGTATAATGAGGAAAGAGGAGGCAGCGCGCACTTCTATCCTTAAAGAACAGATGCGGGTGACCCATGAGGAGAATCAGGTAAGGATGGTTACCTTACCTGACATGAATAGACTCTAAAAATACCCTTGCACATTTTAAAATAAAGGTTCTTCAGAGGTTGTTTGCAGGACTTCTTCCTAAGGCCCATTTTCTGGGGTTCTTTGAAAAAGTTATTGATGTAACATAAATTATGTTTTTCAAATTAGTATTGGTTCTAGATATCAAACATTTTTCTTTGTACCACCAATATGTAGAACTTTCTAAAGAACTATAGAACTAGAAATGGGTTCTCAAATTATGTCAACTTGTTCTGCAAAACCCTTTTTGGGACCTTTATTTTTAACAATGAATTTTGCTAAGATGTAAAAACAATAGATTATGGCATTTATAGATCATTTATTGCCTTCTCATTACTTTTGATAAGCTTAGCAAGAGTTTGATGTACACTACTGTTCAAACGTGTGGGGTCAGTAGTTTTTTTTTTTTTTTTTAAATACTCTTAGGGCTCGTTTGCACAGAATAAAAGCAAAGCAAAAACGCAAGACGCGGGCAGTGGAATGGGGAAAAAATGCAAGGTCTCGAAATGCGTTCTTCAAAAGTTGAACCTCTCGGTTACATAAGTAACCCTCTTTTCCTGAAGGAGGGAATGGATAAGTAACGTGGACGTACCGACGAATTGGGATTGCGCCAATTCGTCTGTAATGCCTGGTTCAGATTACACGATTTTTGCCCGAATTTGGCCCGATCAGTTTGACGTAGGGCGTCGTGGAGATTCATAAACATCAACGGGCGTCGGGACACAAGATTCGATCGTATCATCTCGCATAGTGTGTCATAGTGGGCGACAACCTACATCGCATCTGCGATGCTTCACGACATCACGACAAAAAGACTAGCATGTTTAATTTTTTTAACGGTCGTCCACGACGGTTCCGTCACATGTATGAGGTTGACCAATAGGAGCACAAGCTTTTCGTACACAACTTTCAAAAATGCCGAAACGAAAGAGAGACTATGGTTAAAACTAAAATTAAAAATGTATAAGAAAACAATATTTTACCTCAAGATCTCTTTGGAGGATTGACAGCCCATACTGTCCTCTTCGAGCAATTCAGGAATGTGTCCATTGTCGGGTTTTTCCTGAACACAGGACAGCCAATACAACACTCACCGCTTCATCCATTGTTTGTTTACGTTTGTTTCCGGAAGTCACTCGCTACTAGTTTCGCCTTCTTCATGACATCACGTGCCATGTTAAAGACGGCACGCGATGACTAGTCAGGAAAGCAACGTGTAGTCTGACATGTTTCTCATCCACGACGCGACAAGATTTTAGGAGCCAAAATCGTGTAATCTGATACAGTGACTATCGTGACAGACATAAAAAAATCGTGTAATCTGAACCAGGCATTAGTCAACGTACATTGAGCGTGACGACTGGAATTGAACGTGTTGGTTACGTATGTAACCCTAATTCCCTGAAGGAGGTAACGGAGACATCTTTGTACGTTGAACGTAACCGACTGAAAGGCAATTGATTTTAACTTTTTAGAACGCTGTGTCATGCGCGAGACGCGAGTGCAACGGTTATTCACGTCACGTCTGTCTTGTGAGTGTTTAAATAGAAAAACAATGGAAAAGGAAAAACATGTTCTGAGTTATTCAGCAAGGACGCATTCAATTGATCAAAAAACGACAATAAAGACATTTGAAGAGTTCAGATGCAAAAGCCTCTAAGTGCCATTTGAAATTTTCTTCTAAAATGATCACTTTTATCAAGCTTGTATATTTAAGTTCAGTAATTTCACTTAAAATGCAATGAAGATTACCTATTAATTGTCATTTAAGTGAAATTACTGAACTTGAATATATAAGCTTGATAAAAATGATCATTCTAGAAGAAAATTTCAAGTGGCACTTAGAGGCTTTTGCATCTGAACTCTTCATTTATGTGGTTATAAAATATTTCTATTTCAGATTGTGCTCTTTTGAACTTTTTATTCATTAGACGAATCCTGAAAAAAATACAAAAATATTAAGCAGCACAACTGTTTTCACCATTGATAATAATAAGAAATGTTTCTTGAACAGCTACTGTAGTAAATAAATTCATTTTAAAATACATTAAAATAGAAAATATTTATTTAAAACTACTGTATTTTTTGATCAAATAAATGAGCAGCCTTGGTGAGCAGAAGATTCTTCTTTCAAAAACACTTCGAAAAACGATCCAACCCCAAAAGTTTGAACGGCAATTACTGCATTTAAAGAAACCATTGTTAACCCAAAAATGCAAACTGGCATTGGTTTACTCACCCTCATGTTGGTCAAATCCGTGTTACTTTCATCTGTGGAACACAAAATACTCAAAATGTAGAATGGAAAATGTGTATTCTTAAAATGTACACGTTCCTTTTCCACGGCACACAGAGTTTGAAACGACATGTTGATTCCCTTTAAGACTAGTCCATTAGCCTTCTTGAGGGAAACGCCTAGTCCATGAATTCTTGTGTTCCAAGGTTGCTCGTTCTGCTTCCAGTTTTGGTGTCATCTGTGGGCTGTGCTCCTTTCTTCTTCTCCGTTCTGTGTCTCATTCAACTGTGTAATCACACTCTCACTCTTTTATTTTCACCACCCACTCTCTTGCTCTTTAAGTCTCGTTCACAGCTGATTTCTTTTTTTGGGTTGTCTGTCTTTTATGTGGCACTTCTGGAAAGAGGCTCTTATAATCATTAATATTTCATAATTTAATCGGATGTGGCAGTCTGTCAATGGACAGGCCAAAGCCACAAATACTGGAACACATTTTAGACAGGCCTGGCTCTAAAATTTAAGTAGATGAGCCACATTCAAAGCCAAGTTGTTCAAGCCAAGCCAACATTCAAATTGTACAATATCTTATATTCAGATATGTGTGACCGCAAATTAGTTGAATTCTATTTTTATTCTGCCAAGTTGCTATATTATATTACAAAAAATGTACTCGTTTAAGACCCTCTACAAAGAATCGGTTACTGGTAAACCCTCTTAAAAATAATTAAATGTTTATACCACAGATTTTTTATATTTTTTTAAAGAAGTCTTTTCTCTTTATTTGATCAAAAATGCAGTAAAAAAATAGTAATATTATTACAATTTAATATAACTGTTTTCTATTTGAATAAATTGCAAAATGTAATTTATTCCTGTGATGCAAAGCTGAATTTTCAGCATCATTACTCCAGTCTTCAGTGTCACATGATCCTTCAGAAATCATTCTAATATGCCGATTTGCTGTTTAAGAAACATTTCTGATTATTATCAATGATAACAGTTGTGTTGCTACATATTTTTCTGGAAAACGTGATGCCGTTTTCAGGATTCTTTGATGAGTAGAAAGTTCAAAACAGCATTTAATTAAAACAGAAATCTTATGTAACATCGTAAATGTCTTTACTTTTACTCTGCATTCTTTCTGAATTAAAATATTATTTTTTAATGCAGCTGCAACATATTTATAGTTCATTTTAAATGTCTGTCAATAGAAAAATGGATTTTTACTGCCAGATAATTCTAACCTGTAACACTTGAATATGGCGGCTGTAGAAATGTCTGATAGTGGCATCACCTGCGTTTTGCTCTCTATTGTATTGGCATTAGCTAAACTGGCTTTAAAATGTAGAAAGAAACAGATTATGATATAGTTGACATCAGATTTTATTCCTGGTTTATTGGAACATGATCTTGAAAACCAGTTTTGGGGATTTCGGTCTTTTAAGTAAACATGCACGGTTACCAATATGGCTGCCAAGTGGGCTGGCTTTCCTGAAAGGGACTTGTGCTTAATAGTGTACAGCTCTTTAGAGTTTAGTTTGACTGTATACACCGTGTAGCACAACCTCTCGTTCCTTTTTGATTACCGCTTTCAAAAAAAAGGGTGATGGTTCAGGATCAGTTTCATGTATTCAACAGTTGAGGACTGGAGGCATTTGTTTTCTCACAGTCTCACCTCTGTCTATCTGTGTTTCTGTCTGAGAGTGTAGCATTGGCCTAGTTAAATCACACTCCGTCAGCACGCTGCACGAGGCCAGAAGAAGAAAAAATGTCAAGGACAAATGCTTGTTTGAGAGACTTTGTTTCCCTCCATCTGATTCCTTGTCTTCTCTGCCACCATTTCACTCTAGCGCTGTCCATTATTCCCGCTCTCTCTTTGGCTCCTTTCCTGTCGCACATCCTCACTCCGTGTTTCTTCCTCTCTCTTCCTCGTCCTGTGTCCTTCCCATCCGTTTTGTCCTCCGTTACTCTATCCACCCATCCTCTAAGGCACCATATGGCATTTTCTCACATATTTTGGATGACATATGGATATTGGAATCACCATGTCTCGCAAAGCATTCAGGCCTTTCAACCAGTTCACGAATTTGACTGAATTGCATTTCACATTGGAATTTAGTGACATTTTATTACTATCCGCTGGTGGGCAAATTTTAACATCCTTAGTTGAGTTTAATCTGGTGCTATGTCTATTTAAATGAAGTCAACACAAATATGTCTCTTTTTACAGGCTTGTTATAGACTGCACTGTATTCACAAAAGTAAATTTGCCTACTGCAATTTAAAGTGTGTTTATAGAGACATTTTGGCAGTTACTCATCAAATGGTGAAGAACGACATCCTGATTTACCGTGCAACCAAATGTGACACTTATACATCCTGAACGCTGCACTCTAAAAAATGCTGGGTTGTTTTAACCCAATTTTGGGTCAAATATGGACAAACCAGAAATATTGGGTTAAAAATGTAATGTAAAAATTTAACCCAACGGCTGGGTTAGTCCATATTTGACCCAAAGTTGGGTTAAAACAACCCAGCATTTTTTAGAGTGTGAATAAATAAGCTTTCTGTTGATGTATGGTTTGTTAGGATAGGTTAGGATTCATTAAAGGGATAGTTCACTTTGAAATTAATTTTTGATATGTTTTGGATTGCCTTTGTTTGTAGGTGTCTTTGTTTCCACAGTAGTTTCAATTTTGTCTATCAGTCATATAATGGAGGTCTAC